GGGCTTCGTTACCGTGCGGAGGAGGGGGAGGGGAGCGCTGACTCACCCGCCGCGTCACTGCTGGTGGGGGGTGGTTCTCCTTAGCGCAACATGTCACAATATTATTCACTACTGCTGCTATATTATATGAGCTACTGACAGCGCCATTAAATAAACCCATAAGTAAATAAATAAAACATGTAAGATTTGAGGTTTTCATGGTGGTGACTATGAAGAAAGCAGTCTTTTGGAATGTGGCCCATGTAGATATTTTTTTAACTGACATTTCGGAAGAGCATATCACCACCATCTTCAGGGTAGATGAAGAAAGCACCTGCTCACGCTCGTTCCTCGCTTGCGGATTTTCTTCTTTTTTCTTCTACCTGGAAGTGGAGTCGATACGTTCCTCCAGAACAGTGGTTAACAATATCTACATGGGGCCAAATCCCAGAAAACTGCTTTCTTTAAATAGAGACATATTTGCCTTACGACATTTTCATACAGTTCTGCTCAGTTCACTGTGGATTAGGCCTCCACATTTGGGTGTTATCATGGCCTCTGCTTAGTTTGCTTGTATAATGCACACATTACTAAATGTTTCCACAACATTCAGCATTCCTTCTAAACAAATTTAGTATCATCATTAAATACTTCGTGTTGCATGTTTACCCCATCTTGTACAGAAACTGAACACATATGTGTCTAAATATGAATTACATTCTGATCTTCATCAAGTGGTATATTTGTATCCCTCCTTTTTCTTCACCATCATGGCCATACCGGTTACCATAATGCTCACCCATGGTGGTGACCACCAAAATGGCAACCTTGATGTTTCAGCAGAACATACTGCCTCCATCTTGAAGGTCAAAGATCAAGCCAAGCAAGAAAACATTGGAAGCATATGACAAGCTCAGCTTGCTGAGGCGAGCTGGCCACCTGTTTGTACTGATTCCTTTCTTGGTTTATTCTTCATCTTTGAAGGTGCAGAGAGTTAGTTCCTCCAAAATGTCAGGCTTCTTCCAAATTACGCACCATCACAACTCAGAAGACTACTGCAGATCGCACAGGGATTATGGCGATGGGAAGGAAATAAGAGGCAACAGTGGGACACAAAAGTGAGAGGGTGATGGCAATCATGAAGAGGGGCTGTAAATACTCATATTATGATACATTTTGGAAGTGGAAAGATGATTATGTAACAGTGCTTAGGTGGGGAAGCAGGGAAGTAACAGGAGAGGAAGTGAGCCAGTAACAGTGATTAGGTGGGGAAGCAGGGAAGTAACAGATCTTATGATGTGGAGGTATGGGAAGATGACTATTTTGATGATGGAGGGGTGATGTGAGGAAATAAAGACTATTTTGATGATGGAGGGGTGATGTGAGGAAATAAAGGTAACGGTGATGGGGCAAGTGTGGTTATGATGAAGGGTGTATGGGAAGATGTTGATTATGATGATGTGGGAGAGTGAGGACGTGGCAGTGAAGGTGATGATGTGGATAATCATGATATGAAGGAGAAATTTGAGAGTATAAGGAATTTCATGATGTTACTGCTGATCATTATGGTATGGAAATGGATGGTAACAAAAGGGAAGACATTGCCCTGATAATACTTGTTGCAGATCATTGTTATGAAAAGATGAAGCTGAATTTAATTGTGATTTTGGTTACAACATGTATTTGGTTGGTTGTATTAGGAAAGATGATAAAAAAATATTATGTGGATGCTTATTGTGTTAACATGAGAATTGTGATGTTGTTGACGGTTGTGAGCATAGGTGGGGGCAAGACAGGTATCTTCTCTCCCTTTTAATTTTTTTTTTTGGGGAGGGGGAAATATCAAAATTGGAAAAAGAAGAAAGTATTACAGATATTAGTACAAAAATGTATTCTGCTCTCTAGAATCCTCAAGGGCATTCAGCAAAAATAGTCTTAAACAAGTCAAATGTAAGTAAGTTTTTCTAACCCCCCCCCCAAGAAAGAATCCTGGCAATTCCTGTGACTAAGGATTATGATGATTACATATATTTAGATCATGATGAGAAGCTTCACCAACCTGGATATATTGTTGCAGGACACTGCTGAGGGTTTTGCTGGAGCAGCTGACAAAGCCAGAGGGCTCAGTGCGTGCACTGGTGCTGAGTGTGCTGACAGAGATGTTCAAGAAGCCCTCTATGGGGTCCTGCTTCCACAACTACATTGAGTTGCTGGTTCTCAAGGTTCTGCAGTCTCATAAGGATAACAGTAAGGAGGTAACTGCATACATGCTATGGTGACTTAAACATAAAATGTACCACTTAGAGCAAAACAGTAGGAAACATGCTCCAAGCTTATGTGAGAAATTAAATAATACTGTGCACCAAAATCTTGTCAGGCAATCAGCCATGTAAATGCTGACCAACATTTTGGAAACTCGCTCTCTCCATCATTAGGGTCCGTGTGGGCAGTGACCATATATTGCTTGCATGTGCATCAGTTTCTTAGTGTGAGGCCTCGTCCTGCTAATGCAGCAAGTGACAGGAGGATGGAGTCAAATTGTGCGGTCATCCAGCCAACTGTGACATGTCACCATGTCGCTTGACTTGTGGCCACTGTTTGTCAGTGAGTTTCTGTCTTCAGCTATTTGGCATGTCCCTCTTGATGTTTGTTCCAGTGGATGTTGTTTAAGCTGTCACTGTTAAAAAGGGCATAATAATGTAGTGGTTGGGTTCAATGCTTTTCTAAATTTTAATTGTTCCTCTCTTAATAGTATTCAGTTTTGACCTTGTTTCATTGCCTCTTTGACAAGTAAGTGTGATATGGAATATTACACATGAATGTGGAAAAGTGTATATGGCAAACAGGTGAGACCATTAAAACCAGATGTAAGGAATGTGCGAAGCATCTACAGTCATATCAGCTGGACTAGTCCACAGTGGCAAAATGCAGCATTGAATTGGCCCAGTGGGTTCAGTTCCAAAAACTGAGACACTAGTCAAAACATCACACTACAGGGACTGACGTGTAGAGGCAATAGAAATAAGGTTACGCTCAAATATTAACAGACAGGAATGTTCAAACTTAACAAAACATGTGACCCCAACACCAGATTATTACAGCAGTGATGTCACAATAGCGAAGCAACTCCAGAAAGTGGTGTTTTCTATTGGGTCTGTCTTGAGGCTCTATAACAAGGGCCGGGACAAGTCAGTTTAGAGACAGCCCTGAGATAACAGAGTTAGAAGAGCAGGAGGTTGGTGCGAGATGGTCGCCAGCCAGCAATGACATGAGCCTGGGAGTAGAGGAACATCCACTGTCAGAAGTGCAGTGAAGGCTATGACTGGGAGCACTAGTCTGTGCGTGACAGTGATTTGTGAAGTATAGTCATGAGAGTCAGGAGTCTTGAGACAGCAGTTAGGGGGTGCAGTTCGTGAGCTGTAAAGGCACGAGGAAGATTTGTCACTGCAAAAGTTACCTTTGAGAACAAATGGTGCCGTGCAGGAGGTAACATGAGACCACTGGGATGATGTCATTAGACATGATGGATTCCTTGAAGAATTTTATAGGGAAAAGGACAAAGTTGTTGCAGATGTCAGTGATGAAAGAATAGCCAATCTCCAATCTGATAGTGAAGCTTGAAGTGATACCAAGGACAGCAGTGCTTCTATTGAAGAGTTCAACTAAATGTTCCTACCTGCAAAGGAAATGTGTTTTGCGCTATGAGTAGTCCATATGGAAGCCAAGATAACTCTGTCCACTTGTACATCACCAATGCAACCACAGCCACAGTTATGACTCCACAACTGTAGTTTGTTATGTGAAATAGAATATTTTAGCTTATGCTTAGTTGTATTATGTCAAACAGCTCATTTTAGCTTCAGAATATATTTTTATATCTTTTTGTGATAGGTGCTGAGATGTGCTGAGGCATGTGCAGCCACAATGGGAACAGTACTGCCCCCTGATGTTGTGATCCGAGTACTGAACCCACTCATCACAACAGGAGAATACCCGGTGAACCAGGGAGCTATCAAAATGCTCACCAAATTGGTCGAACAGAAGAGCAAGGAGGCTGTGGAGCCACACCTTGCTGAAGTTATGCCAGGCCTCATCAAGGTGAGTTCATGCTGTGAAGTTCACTTCAGAGTACAATAATTCTCACTGTCCTAAGTTTCAGTTCTCAGAGATATGTTATTGCAGTAGGAGCATAATGAACTCGTCTGGTACACTATAAGTATGAAATGTTCTTATTGTAAAGCACATTATGATACTAATGTGTATTCACTGAATCTGTAGTTATGGTGCATTGAAATAGCTACCTATGCTTGTAGCCTCATTAGTGGTACCTTTGTGTAAATAACGCAGTTAATGTGGCAGACTTGCCTGAAGTACCTGTTAATGTTTATTGGTTGTGCATCTCACTTGAGGAGGAGCTGGCCAAGGTGGCAAGGGACCTGCTTAATACCATTATTAATTAACCCCCCAGTTAATATTCGATTGCAGGTGTCATATTTCAGAGAATTTTAAACCCCTGTTCCTCTAAGATAAAGGTTAATAAGACAAGGGAAAGATGGCAGAGCATGTTAATTATGTTCGTTGTTAGAGTAAAAGGTATATTCTTGCAGTACTATACCTGAAGGGATCATACTGTATGGGTATCAGATTGTTTAATAGCTTACCCTTATATCTAAAGCAGTTGTTCACTAATTGTAAAGATTTTAAAATTGCTTTGAAGGATTTCTTGATTTCTCATTCATNTGCATACTATCACGTCTTTTTTTTTCCCAACAGATGGCAGCTTTGGGGTTATCATATACTTAAGGGTACTAGAGATTTTCTTTTTACTACAGGCATATGACAATGAAGAGAGCTCAGTCCGCAAATCAGCTGTTTTCTGCATGGTAGCACTGCACTCATCAGTAGGGGAAGAAGCATTGCAGCCACACCTTGAAGCTCTAAATGGGAGCAAACTGAAGCTCCTTCACCTGTACATCAGACGTGCACAACAGGGATCCTCCGTGCCAACTTCCCCCAAGAATGCCCCCCCATAGTGACATGACAAGTATGCCTACTTTTTCTTCTGTGAGATACTCAGTGAGCTTGTAATATTTCTGAAATAACTGGTTTCATGTTCTGATTATGGTAGCTTTACGGGAGTAATATTCATGTGCATATCCTGTCCCCCCGATTCTGGTTATGGGTACCAAGATTAAAAATAATTGTAAAACCCATGTATTTATACTGTGGAAAAATATGGAGCAAATAAACCAAGAACAGAAATGAAGAAGAGTTGGAGGTGATGATTAATCAGCTCTTTCAACAGATTAAGCTTTTCGATCTGAAAAATGTACTATATTATGATTTAAACATCATTGTCCGATCTTTTTGATTTGAAACTTGTGTCCTTGTGTTTGCAGGTTGGCTGCAGAACTGCGACAATGATACCAACTTCAGATGTATTATTTACAATAATTATGTTAGCAGTAGGGTTCCTTTTTTTTAAAAAAGAATGCGTGATAAATAAATGAAAAATTTGATTTGCATGAGGCATAAGAGTCATGTATTATTACTGTACTTTTTTTACAAAGAGCATACAAGTGTGGTGCATGCACAAAGCATATAAGTTCTGCTAGTTGTATATTAAGTTGCATGTTGATATTGATTTCCTGTTACATTGATGTTGTTCTGAAGCTAGAATGTAAGAAATATGGCAGTGGCAATCATCTCTAGACATGAAGACACTTAATATAATTTGTGGCTTTTGTTAGGTGACTATGAAGAATACTGCCTTCTGTGATGATGATGATGATGATGATGATGATGATGATGATGATGATGATGATGATGATGATGACAGTGTAGCACAATAGAGGTTTACCAGCATTTTGAAGAAACATCCTGCCTTCACCATCAGGATCAAAGAGTAAGCTGAACAGACAAGCAGAGTATTTTCCTTACTGTTTGCTTGCATGGCTTACTCTTTGACTCTGAAGATGGAGGCAGCATGCTCCTTTGAAACGTTGGTAAACTTTTACCACACTGTACAGCATTACATCACAGAAGGCAGTGCTCTTCTTGATGACAATTCCCTTGTAAGTAAGAAGTGAAATATAAAATCATTTTATGATGGTAGGTAATTCAAATGTAAAATCAAAGAAATAAGTGATTTCAGAGGAAAATAGTTATCAGCACAAAAAATACAGATATTTTTGGAAACTTCAGGGAGGCTGTAAGCAGAAGAATTCAAGAATGAAGTTCCGTTAGTACTATAACTTGCTGAGAACTTTGTTGCACTATGTGTTGATTGGTATTTACAATAATATGTGCGGGCAGTGTTTCACATTCTTGGTATTTCTGCATGGTGTATGAAGGAGAGAAAACAAACAACAGTAAATTTGTTAAAACTCTATATTGCATTATCAGTTGCTGTTTCTTTTTGAATCTCCTTAAGGGGGAAGTTAAATTGATTGCTATTTTTCATGTGTATATTTTAAAATAACATTATTTTTTCTTTGGATCATAATTCTCAGTATCAGGCTCTTCTGTTTGTTCTGGTAGTCTTGTAGCTAGCTTGCTGTACAGAAACCACCAAGGTCTGATGTTGTTTGCTTGACATGGCAATGAACTTACACTTTATACAAGACAAAACTTTGTCCAATTATTTGACCAAAAACTAGTGCCTATTGTATTGGATTCATAAATGTGGGAATGTTATACAGTTAAGTTCTCTAGACAATGCAGTTTAGAAGTAAACTCAATATCTTGTAGGCCTGCCAGGCTTAATAGGTGGAGCATGTGACTTTAACTGAGATGTCCAATTAAAGTAACAGTTACTATACAACTCAGGCATTTCATTTTCAGGTTAAAAGATAATTTAGTCACAAAGGACTTACCATTGCCTATGCAATGTGGATTGAGATCTGTATGAACATTGTGATGAAGTACTTACACGTACTTGAAGGTTAATTTAAGAATCCTTTTTTGCATATTATATTTATAAATTTAAAATATGACCCCTTAGTATGATTTTGTACACAGAAAAGAACCATATTATGGGAGGGAAAGTGCAAGATTGTAAAGTTTTGGGTTCTCACAACATTGGTTATGGAGAGTTCTGTCTTCTGGAATATAATGCTGTGTAGTCTGTTAAGTCAGCTGATGTTTTGGAGGAGCATGTCACTTCCATCTTCAGGGTTGAAGGGTAAGTCACGCAGGATACTACCTTGAGGCAGGTAGCTGCCTGCTTACTCTTCAACCCCGAAAAAGACGTGACATGTTCCTCTGAAACATTGATTGACTTTCAGCAGACTACACAGCATTATATCCCAAAAATAGAACTCTTGAAAACCATTGTCGAATGCATAGGAAATGGGGGATCTTATTAATTAGAGGCTTTTATATAATTTGGAGAAATTCTCTGTTAGTGGGAAATATTCAGTCTGTGGCATCCAGAAAGAAGTTCAGTGAATAAATCAAACTGAAGTATGTAAAATTGTTTTCATTTCCTGCATACAAGCTGAGGTTTTTTGTGGCTTTCCACATCCTTTTCAATTCATTATTCATTAATTCTGTCATTCAGTGTTACATAATCACAGTAACTAAAATCATTATTAAAGAAACAAAAAAATGAATGAATGAATTAGTAATTCAGTGTACAAATGGAGAACTATTGCAGGAGCTTTTAGTGTTCTCTAAGGACATCCTGAAGGCAGAAATAGTGAAATGTGGTAAATTGTAACACATCATTGCATCACGAGTCATTTATACACTCTTTCAAATAACCATTTGAGTTTTTGTGTAGGATTCCAGAAGACAGGTTTTAATTAGTTATAATGTAACAAACAATGGAGTGAAATGAGGGATTGCATGAATGAGTGTTCTCATTACTAGAGCTAAAAGGAACAAGAAAAATGAAACAAAGAGATTAGCAGCCACTGTCGTAAAAAATTGAGTAAATATTTGATGGGTGTTGAAAAAGAGCTAAACGATGAACCACAGAGATAATATCATATGGATTGTATATTAATTTTGATAAAACAGTGCTATGAAGATTACAAGAATGTAGATCACATTTTACATAACAAGAAATAATATAACATGAAAGGTAGTTAATTTACATACTTCATAATTATCATGAAACTGGTAGGGTTAGACCATTAACGTTCATGATGTGTATTTGTACCAACCGTCTTACAGTGCACACAATTTCACCTTTCTCTTCACTACATGTTTCGGCACTAATGTGCCATCTTCAGGTGTGGTTTTGTCTACATCAAACCATTGCACTGTATGCCATCATGTCTCCTTTATAAAATGATTGAAATGTAAATATGTCATGTATAATAATAAAATTTATATATTAAAAATTTTCAAGATTTATCATCTATACGTTGCACTTCAAATTCGAGAGTTACATCAATCCTCTCCTATGGGAGTACTCTTCCTATATTCTTGTGTATATTGTGTCCTGTGTTGTGTCCTTCTCATCAGCCCTCCAGTCAACCAATTTAATTTATATACAGAAGTAACAACAAACTCGGCCGGCGTGATCGACCTGCTGTATGTCCTGAGATGCTACAAAAGGAGCCAGTGTGATACAAACGCACATCACAACTTCATTCTCTTGGCAGACCTGCTACCTGCAGTCTTCAGCTTGATATGGTTCCTCACTTCATCCTGCAGATGGCTGAAGAACGCTGATGACGACCACATGGCCTTCGGAGCAACATCATCAGGCCCCGAATCTGATTTACTTCCAGTTTCTACCTTCTTCTTGTCCTCATCCTTCCCATGACAGATACCAAATAATGTCTTGGTTATAAACGACACACTCCTGTTCTATAACAGGAGAACAGGAGTGTGTCATTTATAAGCAAGACATCAGTTGGTATCTGTCATGGGAAGGATGAGGACAAGAAGGTAGAAACTGAAAGTAAATCAGATTTGGGGCCTGATGATGTTGCTCAGAAGCCTCATGCGAAGGCCGTGCCGTCGCAATCAGCATTCTTCAGCCGTCTGCAGGATGAAGTGAGGAGCCGTATCAAGATGAAGACTGCAGGTAGAAGGTCTGCCAGGAGAATGAAGTTGTGATGTGCGTTTGCATCACACTGGCTCCTTTTGTACAAGTAGCATCTCAGGACATACAGCAGGTCGATCACACCAGCTGAGTATGTTGTTACTTCTGTATATAGATTAAATTGGTTGACTGGAGGGCTGATGGGAAGGACACAATATACACAAGAATATAGGAAGAGTACTCCCATAGGAGAGGATTGACGTAACTCGTGAATTTGAAGTGCGACGTATAGATGATAAATCTTGAAAAGTTTTAATATATAAATTTTATTATTATACATGACATATTTACATTTTAATCATTTTATAAAGGAGACATGATGGCATACAGTGCAATGGTTTGACGTAGACAAAACCACACCTAAAGATGGCACATTAGTGCCAAAACATGTAGTGAAAAGAAAGGTGAAATTGTGTGCACTGTAAGACGGTTGGTACAAATACACATCATGAACATGAATCAGTGCAGCAGGGCACTAAAATATAACATTATTAGACCATTAAGGCTTGTTTGTGTGAATCCCAAGATGGTTTTAGCCTGTCCATTGTTGCTTCAGTCTTCCCTTCCTCACCATCCCATTGGTGGAAGGTGGTCCCTTTTAAAATGAATTTTCCTGTTGTGTGGGTGTATATTTTCAGTTGTACTTGTAATGTTCAATCTTTCTCTTATGTAAGAATTTCTTTGGTGATCTAATCTAATGATATCTAGTAGTGGTTTCAGAAATCACATTTGCGCCACTTCTGGTCTCTGGTACTCCTGATCCAAAACTTTCTTACTGCATAATGCTTAACACTGGTTACTTGCAATAAATAAAGCTGTTCTGAATGTATTGTAATTTCAGTAATGTTCTAAGCACTTCGTTTAATACAGGTTCAGTGTTTTGCAGGAATCATCATAAGCACCTTCTGGCACAACTGCATCACCAGCTATTTTTTTTTTTTTTTAGTTCTTTTTCCATTTCCACAGAAGTTGTGATTTCGTCCTCACTAAGAAATTCCACGGCTAGCTTCCACATCTGCCTCAATCCAGATCACCAGGTCATTTGTTCCTGGAGTACTCCAAAATCCATTACAAGCAGCCTGCACTTCTTGATCCAAGATTTCTGCTGACAACAGCAGCAACTCTGATGACATTTTTCCCAGCAGTTCTATTTGCCATTGGACTAACTTTTCTCTAAGTGAAACTAGTAATATATACAGAAGCCCTCCTTCTTTAATTGGTTTATTTTTTTATCCTGAAAATTGAAGCAGTACATTCCTCTGAAATGTCACTAGACTTCTACCAGACTGCATGGTTTCACATTCCAAAAGACAGTGCACTTAATAATTTGTCTTATTTTTCAATCCAACCATGTGTTCTTCCTATTAGAATTCCATGCTCACAGAATACATTGTTCTTGATTTCCTACTTTCATCACTTTTGAT